AAGTCCCCAAATCATGGTGAGACATACAAGCCAATCTCCTGTGGTCAAACCAAGTTTCAAAACAAGGGCTCCAGAGTCAGCTTGGTGGCAGATTTCACCTTCCAGGTCGTAGATTAAAAGGTCCTTCTCCATCTGGTTAGACAAAGAGCAGCCAGCCACTCAGCTCCCCACAAATGCCTTATATATCAAAACACATGGCTCCTTTTCGACTAGGAATAGGGACACATAAAGATATGAGAAGTCTGAGATAAAATTTGTTTTGTGTATTAGATAACATCCAGTCAACTGCAGCCAAATTAATCCTATTAGCCAATGGTAGGAGGTAGATACAGACCACAGTTCAATACCGCCTTCTAGGGCAATCGTAAATGTCCTTGTCTGGTTGTAGATACTGACCTGATCAGCTATTCAGAGTACCTTGAAAGAGGTCTACAAAGCACTCTGAGCACTTGAAAGCTCCGTGAAAGTGTTCTGTATGATTTTTTTCAGTTAGATAAAATCTAGTCCAACAAATATAACTGAATGATCTGTTCAGAAAGCTGCTGTAACAACTGCACGTTCCACATTCTTATAGGCTACAGACCATAAACATGTTTTTAATTCTATGAGGCTGTGCTGCTAGTTTGCTGCTAAGAAACAGGTGCTACTGCTACTGCAGCTCTGAAGGATGGCTGTTGATCATTCACTACCTATCGCAAGTTGCTGCACTATAAGAAATGGAGGAGAGGACAGACAAGCTCTTGCAATTTTCTTTTGCTTTTTACAGGCAGTGATAAAGCAGAGAACATGACCTGCAACCCCCTGCCTCCTATCAGGATCCTTCTGGTTTTAATTACAGTATGTATTTATTTTACTAAAATGATGATTTAGTTCATAAAATTTTACCTGCCCCATTAAGCATTTCAAAACAGGCTGCCAAAACCAAAACCGCTGACTATATTAGATTTCGCTAGAAGGTAGGAGCCGAAAGTAGCAATTTTCCTCCAGTCACTATTTCTAAATCAATGCTTTATTGGAAGTTGAGAAGTGCAATAGTTAAATATACTGACGTTTTACAATTTTCCTCCCCCTCCTCCCAGGAACATGCACAGGAACATATGCATACTACTATACAGATCATATCCAAAAGAAAAAGAAAAAAATGCGGTGAGAAATTGCTTTTAATTTTGCTCTCATGGACTGACCACCCCTGCATGAAACTGAATTGTAGTGAAAAGAATTTAGCTCCAAGGTATTCAGTTCCAAGGCAATTTTCAGAATGTACATAAACTGCATCTATCAGCCTATCTCTGAAAAGAGGTGTAGGTGCAAATCTTACTCATGTAGCATCAAAAATAAAATAAAAAAAAAAACCTATCCAAACTTTTTCACTTCATCCTTTCAAATTCACTCTGTACAACATAGAGTTACATTTCCTATTTTACAAAGTAATTACACTAAATACACAAATATACATAAGCAAGTAAACCTTCATTTTCCTATGTCACAGCAACGTATTACCTACCTGCTTTCCTCCTACTGATACAGTTTATTTGCACCTGTCCTTGCTATAAAAAGCAAGGGGAGCACATCTGCATTGTAAGGTTGCAGGCATTCAAAAACAAAATCCCCCTCCCTCCAAGATTCCCTAACATTGATTTCCTCAGTCATTGCTTTGGCTTCTTGGTGAAATGCTGGAGAACGGGTCTTCATTCCCACCACTCCAACCAATTTCTTCATTTTTCCATACTTAATAGCACTTGCATTCATTGCGGCACTATATGGAAGGAAGATCTTAAGGGAAAAAGCCTCAGGCACACAGATCCATGTGTCTTAGCAGCCACCTGCACACGCTGCTCAATCCCCAGTGAATTTGTGCTGATTCCCTGAACATTGATGAGACCCTCCCCCCCAAAAAAATAAAAATACAGAGGGGGAGGAACTTGACTCCCCCACTTCTGATGAATGGCTTAACACCGGAAAAGAAACTGCTCTGTGACTATGTATGCAGGGCACAGAAGAGTCTTCATGACTGGGTGGCAGCATGCAGGCAAGAGCGGGCTATGGTGGTGGATTCCTGGCAGTCCTGCCTCAACAGAGTCCTGAGCACTTAGGCCCGAGACATTGCTGGCTATGCTGATGGTCCTGAGCCTGGTGGTGGGGGCGGCGGCTGAGAAGGTGGCTGCTGAGTCGTCCCTTGTGGCTGGGAAGAGGCAGGCGAGGAACTTGAACTCGTCTGCAACTGTGCTTGGAACTGAGCCAGCTGCTCTGGGCTCGCCAGTGTTTTCAGAAGGTTGTTTTCCTGCTCCAGCTGGTTGTTCTTCTCAATTAATTCTTTGATCTGCTCTTTGAGAACCTCCACTTCCTCTCTTACAGCATACATCAAATGGCTCTTCACAAGATCCTGAAAGGGAAAAAGAAAGTGGGGGTGAGGGGAATATCAGGACACAAACTACACTTAAACCAGTGACAGTGGTGGGGAATTCCATGACAGGCACTGGATGGGATGGGCCAATAGTTTCGCCATTTCATGACCCCAACCCACTATTCCACAGAAATGTTTATGTAACAAGTAGTATTTGGTTTTTTTAAAAAAATTTGTTGCATTTTAATAGTGTGTCCTTAGAAAATACATCTAAAATGTTAAACAACAAAAAAATAAAAAATAAAAAAATAAAAAGACACTAAATAGTTGTCAGGATTCCTAAATATGTACTTAACATTGTGATTTTCATCTCCTTTTGGGATGCTGAATCTTCCACTGAATACTCAAGACATGTATGCACTCATTCCCCTCTATCCTTTAAACCTGGAGATCAGTTTTTTATTTTTTAAGTATGTCTTAGTTCTTCAATTTACATAGTTCTTGGGGCCAAAAAGACTGAAGCAAAACATTAACTACTGCAGCATTTAGTGCTGACATCTTTGTGTAAGTCCCACCAGTCCATCCACTTTCACTCTCAAAGTGTTGTTGCTGTTGCTATTGTTGAAAAAAACAATCATACATAATGCCTGACTGAAGTATGAAGAGCTTATACTTCCCAGGAATCCAGAGCCAGCACACATTTTAACGTACTATGTTTCAGTTATTAATTGTGCATAAAGCACACCTTCCTCTTGCTCTCACAAAAACATCCCAGCCTTCCATTCCCCGGCATCTCAGTCTAGATATTAAACCATTCCTGTGGAGGTTTAACAAGGGAACACCAACCAGCACATCTGTCCCAACCGGACTGGAATGAATGCAGCTGTAAAAGGGGCCCAGCAATATGGCAGACTGCACACGTATCGAAGGCCCGGGACAGGAATAGGGGAGCAAGAGTAGCATAGTGGACAGAGTTATCAGTCTAGGACTCTGGAGATCTGAGTTCAAATCATGACTTGGCCATGGAAACTTTGTGACCTTCCACAATGGTAAGTACACTTTTCAAAATGTTTCATAGACCTTGGCAACCCTACTGGGGTCGCTCTAAGTGTGATGCAATCTGATTGCACTTAAGAACAGGAATTTAAGTAGGGCTGGCATCCTACTGGCAGCCAGCTCCCATGCCCGCCCCTGCCGCCACAGGGAAGGATCCCGGTCTTTCTTCCTCTTCGCACTTCTCTTGGAAACAGCGGACTAGCCTCCCCGTCAGACCGCCACCTCCTCCATTCAAAAGCTGGCCCTCCCGCCCAGCCTATCTTGTTCCTTCCTTGGAGGCTTGCCCTGGGCTATCGCTTGACGGCGAGCAGGGGCCCACATTCCCGCCAGATGGGGGGGGGGAAGGTCTGCCCAGAACCTCGACCTAGACCAGGGGCTACTCTGCTTCGCCCCTCCGCTGCCTGGCCGGGCCAGAAACGGGTCTGTCCCCGGAACAACTGACTGGCCGGCGAACCGGCCAACCAGCCAGCCTTCCTCCACAAACCCCGCCTCCCCTTCAGCTCCCCCCCCCCCCCGCCCCCGCGCCCCCC